CCAAACTCTCAAGAAAGACAAAGCAGAGCCGAAACCGAACCCGTTAAGTTGGCCAAAAACAGAAAATGTTTTCACCCATAATTTGATTCAAAAGAGCTCAAACCGGATCCAACAAGTGGATGAAAATTGAAAATATTTCCCCTCGGAACTTTATATTCCAGACTATCGTGCCCACATATGCATACATCTTTATAGCCAACATGCCATCGAGCTTTTGAAATGAATTCTAACATTTAATTAAATAAAGATAGGAATAATAGAGAGTCTTAGAATCAAAACCCAAACCACCATTTCATATATTTCAAATAGGCAACTATCATTTCATGGCAACCATAGGAATGTTCCAAAATTCCCTTTATCATGCGTTTCAAATCAGAAAGCAAGAGAAAGTAGCCCTATTACACTTCATTTTATTGATTCAAGGAGCTTTTCAGGATTAGATCTCAAAGGTAGCATAAACTCTTACTTCCACATGTTTTAAAAGAGAAAGGAAATATTTTCAGGTGCACTAAAAAAATGTATGTGAGGGCAAGCATTAAAAAAAGAAATCTAAAAGAATTGTACATGCTTGTAAATATTGGGGCTTTAGTGTGAGGTATATAAGTATATAAGAATCAGGTGGTAAGCATGTAAAGGATGAAGCTTAGGTGCTATAAATGTAAATGCTAAAGAATGAAGTAGCATTCATGTAAATTCGTCCCAAAATATCTCCATAAATCGCAGCTAAGCATCATCCACTTAGGGACTCAAATTGCAGTCCAAATCAGCTCCAAATGAGTCAAGAAAGCAATCCAAAATCTGCCCAAAACATCGTCAAAAGTTGCATTTGAAAGCCCCCAAAATCAACACTTAAAAATGCCCAAATCATTGTATGAAAGCTTTCAAAATCAGCATTCAAGGTGCCTAAATCGATGAATTTGAATGATATGAAAAGCCCCCCCAGGAATAGCGCTAAGGTAGTAAGCAAGACCCCTCCCAAATAGCGCTTCTAAAATTTCCAAATGGCATTTAGAAACGTCTCAAACGACGCTTAAATTCAGCCCAACTCAACAAGTATATGTATTGCAAAAAATCAGCCTTTATTCAGAGTTCAGGATAAACACACAAAAAAAGAAACCTGCATTTATGCATTGCAATTTAGGTGTTATAAATGTAAATACACAAGGACGGGGTGGTGGAAATGTAGACAAATAGGCATTGGATAGTAGATGCGCAAATGTAAGAGCTTATTTGTTCGACACATAAATACGAAAAGATTGTGTGGCATGGATGTAAATCAGCCCATGTGCACATAAACATGATACAAATCGCAAATATTCAAATAAAGTTCCAATCCTCCACGAACCTTGCATCTTTAAGCACAAACCAACCCCGCCAACTTTTTTTTTATTTGGGACCAACTCAAAATATGTTAAAGTAGCCAAAGCAAGACTTGTATGTGCATGAACAAAGCAGGTTTACAAAATTCTGTTAGAAAACATGGATTAAGCAATGGGCTAAACAAAAGTAAAGAGATATGGCATGAAATCAATAAAGCATTATCCCGGTCCAATCTCAATGTAACTACTGCTGCCTCCCCTTTTTTTAGTAGAAAAGCACTAAAGCCACAATTTCCAAACTTTAACATGTAGAGATAGACTCAAAGCCACAAATAAATTTCAGATTTTTCAAATACACCACCCAAATATTTCAGATTTCCACAAATGAGCCACCCAAAGTTTCATATTTTGCAAAAAGAACACCAAAAATATTTCAAATTTCACAAATGAGCCACCCAAGAGCCTTCATATTTTGCACAAAGAAAGCCCAAATATTTCAGATTTCCACAAATGAGCCACCCAAAGTTTCATATTTTGCAAAAAGAACACCAAAAATATTTCAAATTTCACAAATGAGCCACCCAAGAGCCTTCATATTTTGCACAAAGAAAGCCCTAATATTTCAGATTTCATAAACGAGTCACCCAAGAGCTTCATATTTTGCAAAAAGAACACCCAATGCTACACATGTTCCGCATTTCATGCTTAAGAAATTAAACCTTCCAGCAATTCAACAAAAATATCAAGAAGTAGAGCATGTATATCGAGCAGCCAAGCAAAACATAGAGTAACCATGCGAGGAGATCAAAAGACTAGCAAGCTCACGGAAGAAAGGTTACCTCTTGGTTTAGAGCACACAAGAAAAATAAGAATAGGTGTAGAAGCAACCCGGCAACACCTCCCTTTCCTCCTCCAAGATTTCGGCTCCGAAATCTCCACAAATCTTCTCCACAGCACTTCCAAAAGGCCTCACACACACAAGA